AGAGTGCTTAACCTAATGCAGCCGGGGGAAAAATGGAACAATAAAAGGGGGAAATATGCTGTGCCCACTTTTTCTATGTTTTTTCGTGAATGTCTGCCGATAGATGGCTCTGCTAGCGCACGGATTTTGAACTGGCGGGAATAACGTACTTTTCACTAGTGCGATGAAATCGATGGTGTTTATATTTTATCATAACATTATGATTTTTTATAATTTTTTTTACATAAGTAACAGCAAAATAAGATACGTAAAATATTTCGTACATCAAGAACGGGTAAATGGGCGAAGACGGGGCAGTAACTCGTAGTTGGCTCATTGGTGATTTAGTACAAGTGTTGCCATCTATGCTAAAAACAATCAAACAAGTATTCACGGTGGGCATCGCAACGTACGTATCGTCATAACCCGGGGCATTGGGTTAAAGACATGATGAGAGGGAAACACCAGATGAAGACAAAATAGTTTGGACCTTATAATAGATGTAGGACAAATTGCAACAGTAAGCTGACGCAGTCTTTTCTAGCAAGTGCATCCTCATATATTATATATATATCTATATATATATTATATATATATTCATACATTTATATCTTTATATATATATATATATATATCAATATATATTATATATAGATATATATAATATATATATATTATAACTATATATATATGAACCCGATTTATGTTTAACAGATGTAGAAAGGGTATGAATGAAAATGAGTCTTCACAATATAAAGAGATGTATTTGACCGGTTTCGATTATATCTTCGCAGAAATACAGTATTTCTGACGAAGATCATAATCAAAACCGGTCAAATACATCGCTTGTTTGTAAAATATCATTCTCATTCATACCTTTCGAAATGTGTGTGTGGGGGGTGGTGGCATATACATATGTATGTATATGTATATGTTATATATCGAAATATATACATATCCACAAACAATACAGAAAACAATACATATATACATATATATGTTTTGTGGATTTGTTTTATTGACTCTAAAGTATTTATTAATTGTTTTTGATTAATTTTTTTTTTTTCCTCCAATGAACTACGCAGGCACATTGCAGCTCGGCAAATAATATCAGACACAGTTTGTACTTCTCCTGGCACAAGAGGTGCAAGGTTGGAATGTTGTCAACAAAAAGGGACAGTGCCCTAGTGACTGTCTGTCCCCTGAATTCTGATGTCCATAGTTGCAACTCTCTCTAACATCAATTGCAAAACATGATGTCTCAGAACAATAAGCCGTACTGAGAAATTTCTAAGCAGTAATGGTGGTGTGTGGCGGGTGGGTATTTTTGAGGATTTTGGTCCTGCGGTATGCCCTTTTATCCATTTTTTGTCTAAATGGCAATTTATGTCATGCCATGCCCAAATGAGCCATCTTACTGAATTATGTTAGTTAGTCTTTACAGGTTATAGCCCATTTATCGATACAGACTGCTAAAGTATTGGCGCAGATCCTTTTTTACGTAATTAAATCCAGAACTGGCATTAGGGCTCGTTATGTTATATATCTGTATCATAGGCCACAAATCAGGCTTTATTAGTGCATATATGATATGAGAGAATAACACATCGTTTTTCCTGCTTTGGGTGCATACCGCATATTTATGTCCCAGCACTAAGGGTTGCCCTTTTCAGCATTTTAACTGGCATTAATGTATTAAGTCAATGCAAAAAATATATAAAAGTAGAGTAGGAAGCTGTATGCATGTTTATATTTTATCTTGCATTATTACTAGCTTTTGTGAGGATGGGGTTTAATAGTGTTATGTATAGTATTTTAGGAATCATTAGATGATAAGTAGTATTCAATTTTTTTTTTTTTTTTTTTATTAAAATTTCTTCACTTTGCAATATCATCACAGTGATATTGCAGCTGGTAAGGAGCATGTACCAATCCACTAGTTGTGAATGGCGTTGATGATAACCTGTGCCCAGAGATTACCTTCTGCACATTGCTGAAATTGTGTAGGCCTTCCAACTGTCATCATTGATAGGACCATTACTTCATTAAAAGGTAAAGTTGTGAGTTTCATATAAACTAGTGTAGTATAAGGAAGTACAAATATAAATCCAAGTTTAGATACATGTTTAAAGGGTTTTAATTGCTAAAAAACATTACTAGCTGTTGTCCACAGCATTTTCTATTGACAGAATGCATAGGATTAGCTGTATCTAAAGTAATATGATCCCATGACTTGATCATCAGTAATAAAAATAATTTTTAAAAAAAGTGAAAATGCCGTCGTAGAAAAAATTGGCTGAGGGGTCCGAGTGATGGGAGTGTACAAAGCTGGAGGATGAGTAGATTTAGTGGCCATTTAGGAAAGATATTAAGCCAGTACAAAGCGGAGGCAAAAATGTCTTAACACCACACTTAGTGTTCGTAGCTCCCGGTTTAGACAACCCACACTCCTGTCATAGGGACCACTTCTCCAAATAATCTTAATGCAGTTTATATGGGACACAATGGTCAATGAAGCACCTTGAATCAAAGGGGTTAAAAAAAAAGTAAGGCGTACACTATGTCATAGATTAGTAGGTGATATAAATGTGGGATTTTTCTTTTTATTATTGAGTGTTATTTCCATATATGTTACACTTTGTTTGATTTTACAGTGGTGTGAGGTGGTGAGGAATGGTTGTAATTGACAGTTGTGGGTGTGTTCAGCTGAACTTCCAGTGTTGGTCTGACCCAGATGGCCGCGCTCCTACCTGATTTAACTATAATGGTCAGTTTTAGATATACAACATGTTGATGGTTTGCTTTATTCTGAAAAATCTACATTTATGCAATGATTGTTTCAGTGTTGTTTACTTTTTACCCATTTGTATGAGGTATATATAGTTCAATGTGAATTATTTTTGCATACAGAGTGGCTCCACACGTGTCAGTAACTAAGTTAGGTAATTAGTAGCCTAAT